TCAGGTACTGTATAATCCAGCGAAACCCAGTGGTAACTACCAAAGTCCTTCCAGAACCAGGTTACTCTAGTCGGCGCTTAGCTCTGTTTGTTAGTTTATTTGTTTATTGTTTGTTTTTAGGGTTTTTTTGTGCATGAATAGCCTAGCTTAGGAATTCTTTCAACCCTTTTCCTTAAATTGACTTTGGTCCTTAAAAAAGCTTATCCTCTAAGTGAAGATAGACACTGTGAATATTACAACCACTCTCCTGAGTCTCGAATACCACCTTTCTCTATCGATGAAAATGTGATTGGTTTCTTCGACTTCAAAGGTTAATGTTATCTTCCTCAGACAAAAAGAAACATCCCGCTACACGTAGCAAGTTCCATCGGAGACTTAACGATGGTGAAATTTCTTCTATCGCAAGGTGTTATTCACGTAGACGAGGAAGACTCCGAAGGAATGACACCAATACTCAGGTACACTTGAAGCGTTGACCGTTGTATCTAGTAAAATACCTAGAGGCCGCCATCATTTCGCACTACACCAAAGAATCGAGACCTCTGGGAGAAAACAAAAGTTGAACCAGCGCTTTTAACAGCGGTCACGCTTTCTACGCATGCTTAGGTACTGTTACTTTAGAACGCAAACGCATGCTCACAATCAAACCGGAACCAGAATTTTCTGAATTCGTTCAAGGCGTTGGGCGATCGGTCGCCGCTGATCCACAACGCGCGGGGCTTCGGGACGAGATTGTGTATTTAGTAGAAAACACGTTCCCCTTAGTTAATTAACGCACGCGCTGTCCTAGTGAGTGCTGATTAAAAAAATAATGAGTAATAATATTGCTTTAATGGTTGGCACTTACCTCGCCTTGGTCTTGAACTGCACATTAACTGACAAACAAACTAAAACCTGATAACCGTCTTCATCTCGAAAAAATTATCATTGTTTACAGTGTATATCATGTTGCTTATCGTGTCTTATCTGTTCATTGCAGGTAGTTAATCCACACGCTTTTGTTCTCGGCTTTGTATATCCCTGATAATATTCTTCTCAGTTTGTCTCAATTAGTACAAACTAGAAAATTATCTTTTTTTCACCCAAAAATTTAAGTTGATGCCGAATCTGCCTACAGGTATTATTGAGTTTTGCTTTGGTGAAAACGTTTTGAAAATATCAAATTGGAACTGAAAAGATTCGCTAATGATTCAGCTAAATCAGGGTTTTAATGAGAAACTCAGTTGATAGTTTGTTGAAAAGACTTTGTATCGTCATGATAAATTATTCAGCCTCTTTATTCAAGATGCATTCATTCTTCACAGCTTTAACATCTTAATAATTAATTTTGGTTCTTCGAGTCCATTCTAACATTTCACTCATACTGTTGTCATTTCCAACTGCTAAAGAAACTGTAAACATCGATAAAGATCGTGGTCTGTGGAAAAATTCTTTTCAGTTTTATTCAAAATACTTTAATACAATGGCATTTTATCAGAACCGTGGACAGGATAACACGTTTGGTTGCAGGAGGAAAACCATATTCAAGCTCGTTGTTTTTCTTTGCGTTCTTGGAGGGTGGTGCTTCGTGACACAGAACTACACAAACTGCAAAAGCTTTACTACAACTTACGAATCAAGCCCAGAAGACTGGTTTGATGGAAATATAACAAAGTTTCAAAACAAAGCTAACATCTACAACTATGTTGTCCTTCGTAAAACCACAATTGAAGCATATGGTGATTTCTCCTGTTCCAGCTCATTGAAGCCCAGAATGTGTATGTATAAAGTCGATACACTCGTGCAGGCGGTGCAGATATGTAATGTCTACGCCGAT